ATATCTTTCCACACTGTTTCTATGTACATAAAATTATATCTAATATTATTTCCAACTTGGAGGATGTTAGCTATTTAAGATTTTCTCACTTATTTCTGTCAAATGCACTTACCCTTAATAATTGCTATTATTAAGCAATTAATATTGCTGGGCCATTTTATGAGAAGTTTATATTTATTTTAGAATTCCTCTGAAAACTTAAAGCACAGATGAATTCAGAATTGTGATTATTTTCCATGACAAAAAATGTATTAATGTGTCATCTTGAGTGTAATTAACTTTTCAGAGCTAACTTACTTAAATATATGCCTAGTGGGGCACTTGAGTGGCTCAGTCAGTTGAGCATCTGACCCTCGATTTCAGCTCAGGTCATTACCTCATGGTTCATGAGATTGACCACTGCATCAGGCTCTGTGCTGATAGCATGGAGCCTGTTTGGCATTCTCTCTCTGCCTGTCGCTCTGACCCTCCTCCACTTGCACACACATGTGCACTCTCTCTCTCAAAATAAATGAATAAATTTTCAAAATAAATACATAAAAATATGCTGAGCAATAAACTAACATACCTATATAAACATGGCATTTCATAATACATTCATAGTTGTGACTTATATCAGGTTAAAAACATGGGGCGCCTGGGTGGCGCAGTCGGTTAAGCGTCCGACTTCAGCCAGGTCACGATCTCGCGGTCCGTGAGTTCGAGCCCCGCGTCAGGCTCTGGGCTGATGGCTCAGAGCCTGGAGCCTGTTTCCGATTCTGTGTCTCCCTCTCTCTCTGCCCCTCCCCCGTTCATGCTCTGTCTCTCTCTGTCCCAAAAATAAATAAACGTTGAAAAAAAAAAAAATTAAAAAAAAAAAAAAACAAAAAACCATATATACAATATAACCAATACAAAAACAAAGGGTTTTATGGAGAGCTCTTTAATGGCCATAATCTGTTAATTTAAATAGGGATTAATATGAAAGTTTTGAATGATGAGATAATAAAATGAAATTAAATATATATGACTTTATGAATGGATATTTAGTGAATACTTATCACACTAAATTTCAATGTCTTTCCTAAAGGAGCAGTAGACCTTACTGAAAGTTATTTCTTTTTTCATTATTTGAAATTATTATAATAGTCCCTTGTTCCAGTGCTAATGATCATATCATCATATATATTTTGCCTAAAGGCAATATTCATCTGTACTAATCAAAATATAACAAAATAACTTCAAAATCCATTCCTTCGTTACTATTTCTAAGATGATTATTTGTTTAAAGCAAAGAGCTAATCACTCATTCATTACTATCATTTCACTGTGCAAAAGTATAAATAAAGAGGGGCATTGTATCTGCAATTACTAAAAACAGCACTTGCCTTTTTTCAGGTGCCTTATAAATATTTCCCCACATATTTGTTAATGTATGTTTAACTTAGAATCATAACTATGCAAATTACTTGTAAAATAACAGTACTAAAATTTTAAGCCACGGTGTAAAGAAAATATAAATTCTTATTTGCATCAATTTAGGATATAGACTTAGATTAAATTTTTTCTTGTCACATTTAAGGGAAACATAGATGACCAACAATAATATACTTGTTTTAATATCTGCTAACTATATAAAATATTTTAAATGTTCAGAGTAATATGTATAAAAATAATACATTACTCAAATGTTTTAGAATATCTGAAATTAGAAACAATATTATTTCTGGGACATTTGGGTGGCTCAGTTGGTTAAGTGTCCAACTTCAGCTCAAGTCATGATCTCACAGTTTGTGAGTTTGAGCCCCGTGTTGGACTCTGTGCTGATGGCTCAGAGCCTGGTGCCTGCTTCAGCTTCTGTGTGTGTGTCTCTCTCTGCCCCTCCCCTGCTTGCACTCTGTCTCTCTCTGTCTCAAACATAAATACACAGAAGGGGTGCTTGGGTGGCTCAGTCGGTTAAGCATCCAACTTCAGCTCAGGTCACAATCTCACAATTTGTGAGTTCTAGCCCAGCGTCAGGCTCTGTGCTGACAGCTCAGAGCCTGGAGCCTGCTTTGGATTCTGTGTCTCTCTCTCTCTCTGCCAAACCCTGCTCACACTCTTTCTGTCTCTCTCTCTCAAAAATAAACATTAAAACAAATTAAAAAATAAATAAAGATTAAAACAATTTAAAAAAGAAATGACATTATTTCTTAATCATCTGGATTATCATAAAATAACTTGCATAATTAAATCATTTATAAAATAATATTAACAATCTAGATTTAAAAAGTAACAAAGAGGGGCTCCTGGGTGGTCAGTCAGTTGAACATCTGACTTAATTTCCACTCAGGTCATGATTTCATGGTTAGTGAGTTTGAGACCCTCATCAGGCTCTTTGCTGTCAGCACTGCGACTGCTTTGGACCTTCTATTCCCCTCTCTCTCTGATCCTCCTCCACTCATGCTCTCTCTGTGAAAAATAAATATTTATAAAAAAAGTAACAAAGAAAAGAATGTAAAATATAATTAATATGGGAGGATTGCTCAGTATATTGGTTACAAATGCTTCAAATGAGAAATCTTAAATTACTACAAATAAAAGTCTTAAAATATGACTGTAAATTATGTGAAACATTGCTCTTTTTAAAAAAATTAATGACCATTTGTTGTGCTGATATACTTTTGAGTTGATTGAATCTCTCTCTCTACACGCACACACACACACACACATATATATGTGTGTGTGTGTGTATGTGTGTATATATACGTAATTATTTAACCAATTTGTAAGTTAAATGAAGTAAACTTAGTTACATTCTCAAAGAAGAATATCTCTTACATTGAAATTTTTATCCAGATGTTAGTTCCGGATAATTAGCATATTTGTCACACATATTACAATATCGAATATCTCAATAATAATGACTATTTGTTAATTGTTTTTTTTGCCAATAATAATGCAATTTCATAGAAATATTTGAAAATGCATGTGAATATTATATAATTAGAATTGTCTCTATAGTTAGATGATCGATTGAAAACTACAGTAGTTATTCAATGTTAAATGTTCCCTCCTATGCATTTCTAAGTGTATCAAATTCAATGTTCACATTATAATATTGCTATCATAGTAGAAATATACCCTCATTCTTCAGGAATGGTTTTGATTGTCAGCACTTAGATGTATATATATTTCTAGGTAGTAAAATTTAAGTTAAAAAATATAGAAAATAGGAATACATTAAAAATATTTTTTATATGTTGATAACATCTTCTTTCTACTAATCAATTAGTGTTAATAATTAAACAACATATATCAAGGTAATCTAAGATTATTTGCCTATATATTCAAGTATTTAAAATAATAAAATAATAAGAATCCAAACTAAATTTAATTCTTTTCTCAATTAAAATTTCACATTAAAAAATTGAAAAAGTACAAAATTGACCTCAAATTTAATGAATTTTCATAAGTAACTGATAGGCAATTAATATGGCACAAAGTAATTGGATGTTTAGTTCATGTAACTTGAAATTATTAATAATAAATATATAAGGAATGTTTAAAAATATATTAGCTTTCAAATATATTGGACATTAAGAATAATATTAGTATGTCATACATTAAAAAATAATAACAAATGTAAAATAAAGATGTCATCATGAAGTATTTTGAATTTCCTAGTTGAAACAAATAATGTATACCCAATATAACCTGATTTGCTTTTATTTTTTATTTCTATTTATTTATATTTTTAAAGTAGGATTCATGCACAGCTTGGAGCCCAACACAGGGCTTGAATTCATGACCCTGAGAACAAGACCAGAGCTGAGACCTAGAGTCAGTTGCTTAACCAACTGAGCAACTGAGGCACCCTAACGCCTGACCTGATTTCTTTTTAGTTTTGTCAGAAAAGTACATTTCATTTCAGACTTTAGGTACATTCTCCTATGTTAAAATGGATCTCCACTTAGTGTGATTATGTGAAACATAAAATGGAGTATTTATCAACCTTAGTTAGAAGAAGTTTTCTTTTTGAAGTATTTATATTTGCTTTATTTATTATAAAATGTTTACTCTAATGGCATTATAAATCTCCCCCCAAATAAATAAAAAGTAAAAGAAAAATAACTTAAGCTCTCTTAAAAATATGGATCCTCAACTATTATAAATAGATTTAGCTATGATCATTTGACAGAGATTATGTTCTTACTGGAAGATTGATGTTCTTACTGGAAAATCTAACTTTCATTCACAGTAGGCTTTGACCATCTAATATGAGCCTGACAACATTTAAGAGCATAGCAGCCACGTTATGGATAAACACATGAAAACACACAAACACAATACACTAATCCTTAGTTTGCAAGCATAATTCATTCAGGAAACATGCTTGTAATCCAAAACACTCATATATCAAAGTGAATTTCAAGAACAATTGGCTCGATCATGTGAAGTATCACATACTACCTACATTACAAGATATCTCTTGTTTACTAAGTTAAAATTTATTAGAAATGTTTGCTCATCTTGCAGAACACTTGCAGACCAAGTTACATGCAATCTAAGATTTTACTGTATTTTTATAATAAAATATCCCATATGTCATATATTTTATCATAAAATATCTAGAAATTCATAACAAAATATCAAAGTCAAAATATTTCAAATTGTATTTGAACCCCTTTCTTTCTTCCATAAATCAGAGACTTGAGAACTTGAGTCCTTTAACACAGGGATCAGCAAACTATGACCCATGGACTAAATCTGGCCTGCTGCCTATTGCACAACCCACAAGCTAGTTACAGGTTTTACATTTTTAAATGGTTGGGGAAAAATCAAAGGATCAATATATTCCACAACATGTGAAAACTAAATGGAATTCAAATCCCTTTGCCCATAAATAAAGATCTATTGGACCACACACACACAAAAATAGATTCTTACCTCTCTAATCATATAATGTTTTACGTCTACATACCAGAGTGTCATTTCCAAATATATGAATGCATGTATCCAATTAAGACACGTTACTATACCTGTGCGCAGGTATCTTTCGGTTCCCAACAATGAGGATAACATCACAGAGTTGCTGTTGTTTCAAATAACTTTCCATTTTTCTGAAGGTTTGCTCAGCATGGTGAACGGCCTGATAGAATTCTTCAGAGCTACTGGAGTCCATATCACTTTGAGGTGTCAGTGAATGGCTAGTTGCTGACAACCTGCAAGTCACATACAAAAAAGATGGTGTTTATAAAGTGCTAGGAGTTGACCAAAATGACACACAGAGTTTTAGAATTTTATAGGGAAATCAATGCATCTCTCCTTATGTCCCTCATTGTTAATGTAAGTCAGAAAAATCTATTTAGGGTGAAATAATTTACGCTGGAAGCCATAAATGAATTGTTAATTATCTTTTTTTCTTGTCTTCAAATGATTTAAAAGATAGGTTATCTGTATTTATTAGGACATTAAATTAAAAAACCCAAAAAAGTAACAGAAATAGTCAATTACGAACATGCATGCCTGTTCTAAAATTGATTACTAATAAAATGTTAATTTAATACATTTGAAAATGAGATAGATTATCTAATTATACTACCCTAAATTACGATTCCTGTGAGGTTATAATAAATGTTCCTTTACAGAAGTAGGTGACTTTTATTATGAGAAATTATGACACATGGTTTGTAAAAAAGATTGACAATAAATTTGAAATTAAACTGTTGAGTTTTATATTCCACACCCAACTGATTAAATATATATACAGCATGCAGTAGCTCAACAAGTACTTTGAAATATATATATATATCAAATATATATATAATATGTATGTATGCATGCATATACACATGTGCATACACATGTATATATGCATATACACATATGAGTATATTTAATAAACTTTAAATTTTGAAAAATTAATACTGAATTTTGGCTACTGTGTTTATTAATATCATAGACTGTTTCACAATGAAGACATTGAAATGCCATGCTCCATATCAAGGAGAAGACTCTATCAAAATGTGAATGGTAGGCCCAGAAGACCCAACCAAGTGTTTGATAACAATAATAATGAAATATCTTATTTCAAGATAGAAAATAACATGGGGGAATTATGTTTCCAATTACAGGGGAATAACTTGTAGTTGACTAAACCCCTCACCAAGAACACCAGAAAAAATGTTACATATAATATAAAAATAATTAAATTAATTTAATAATAACTACTAAGGCAACCAGGATCTGATAGATCAAGAACTTAGAATAAAGATAAACTCACAGAAGTCAGCTCAAAATTCTACACTGCTTTTTTTTCCCCTCTAAAGTTATTTACTAACTATAAGCAGCGTAGGGTGAGACTCTGAGAAACTCAGCATAATGAAGCAGCCAACAGTATCATGGGGCTTGGAGGAAAGGATGGATATTGGAATTAGGGGCTCCAAAGGTAATCAGAACTTGAGAGATAATTGAAGGGCCACAAAGGAAAGTTTAGGAAAGGCTGTCATTGTGTGCCAATTTTCCCCAGAGGTATTTGTGACTCCTAAGCACTGCTAGACAAGCAGAAAACGGCTTATAGGACATTGAAATGTTAAATAGAACTTGAAAGATAAAAATTTGGATTCAAGGACGAGCAAGGATGAGGGATGCTGGTAACTACACAGGCTCTCAGTTGGGCCCCTGAAGGATTGTATCCCAGGAGTCAAGGGTACTGGAAATACAAGAGATAACACAAAGACAGAAATCTAGATTTGAATCAATGAAGCCTCTGAGTGCATTAAGGTGATCCTCTAATCTAAATGTCATAAAATAGTCAAAATAAACCCCTTAAAAAAAGATAACTTGATAGAAACTCTGATTTCTTCTGCATGTATATAATGCTTGACATTAAAGTGAAAAAGTAGGCCTATAAATAAACTAGACCTAGGGAGAAAACAGACAATAGAAACAGGCTCCCAGATGGATCACTATTAGTTATAGATGTGAAAATATCTGTTATTAATATATTTTAATATAAATAAAAAGGTGGATAATTTTAAGAACATTAGCTTATATGAATAAATCAACTGGAAATGTAATAATTTAAGATTTTGGTAGAGGAATTGAACTTGCAGATTGGATGCAGGTGAAGCAAAGATAATGTAAAAATAAATAGAAAATACTGAAACTAAATTATTGATATAAAAAGATAAAAACAATAGTTTCTGAAACAAATGAAACTTGGTAAGACATTGTAATATTCCCATAATTATAGTTTTAAAAGTAGGGAGAGACATAATAGGGCAAAAGCCATCTGAAGAAATATTGGCCAAGAGTTTTCAAAAATATGTTAAAGACATCAAGATTCAAGACTCACTATCCATCCACAATAAAACAAAACTGCACATGATGGTAAAACCAATGCAAAGCTAGAAAAAAAAGGAAGAGAGAAAAAAAAAAACTTTCTTAAAAAGTTGCCAGAGAATACAAAATGAGAACTTTTCCTCCAACTTGTTTAATGAGGTAAATATAACACGGAAACAAAATTGAAAAGGATGTTACAAGGAACGAAAAATTAATGGTCATTCTCTCTCCTACACAGATTTACAAAAATCTTAAAAATTTTTAAATGTTTATTCATTTTTGAGAGACAGAGACAGACCATGAGCAGGGGTGGGGCAGAGAGACAGGGAGACACAGAATTCGAAGAAGACTCCAGGCACAAAGCCCGATGTGGGGCTCGAACCGACAAACCATGAAATCATGACCTGAGCTAAAGTGGGATGCTCAACTGATTGAGCCACCCAGGCACCCAGATTTACAAAAATCTTAAGCAAAATACTAGTAACTAAATACAAAACTGTACGTAAAAAAGAAATACATAAAAAAGATATATATTAAATATATACTGGATAATGCATAACAAGTAAGTTACACTTAATTAAGGAACACATTTTCATCATATAAAATCACCTAATTCATTCATATAGCAAACATATTTAATGGAAACCTTTCCTCATTGAGATTTAAAATGAAATACATTAGTGCTACCTCTATTCAACATTTTTCTGGAGTGTCTTTCCAATGTAATGTAAGCAAAGAAAAAAATAAAAGTCCATTAGAGTTAGACAAGGAAAAACTATATAATTAATATTATTTCCAGAAGACATGTTTGTGCACATAGAAAATCCAAAAGAATCTGCAGACAAGTTTACAAATCTAAATCCATTAAAATTATGTGTGTTCTCTGTTATCTACAATATTTGTCTACACAATATGGTTATTTTCACCAGACTTTACCAGTTTTTCCTTACATATTTAAAACTAATAGAAATTTTGCTATACCATATGTTTGCCTTTTACAAGTTTGCAAATTACAACCCCAGAATATGGTCATTTCCTGGAATATATTTTAGGAATTCAGGCTCAGGCATATGTGGCAAGAACATTCTTCTATACATTAACACATTGAACAGAAAAGTCACAAAATGCCCTGCAAGAAGGAGTTGTAAATCTAGAACGAACATATCATTATTGGATTTCAGTTTACTATGGAGAATCAAGTCAGGACTATCAGGAGTATAGGCTGCCAAATAGATCAAAACTGACCCACTGAGATCCCGATGTTTCTGGTCTGGTACCAGACTGTGTGAACAGAATCCTAAAGTCAAGATGTTAGAGATGACCCTGCAGAAGGGCTCCAGATTGGCTTAAAGGAGGCTTGTGATAAGGGCTACATTCAGATCCTCATGTAAATTTCCTACAAGTCAAATAACATACTTATGGCTGAAAGGTTTATACCTCACTAAGATTTTCAGAGCCTGGGAAATGTTAGCAAGGAAAGAATTTAATGTAGCTGATCTTCAAGTCACTCAAGTTGTAGTGGACATGATATTAGAGGAAATAGTGAAAGAAATAGATTAATACCATTTTAGAGTTTGGTGAGACCAAAGAACTGCAAATGAAGTAGGGCACAGAATTTTACAGGATTTTTTTAAAGTCAAAAAGCTAATTACCGTGAAGGTGGCACCTTCTTTTCCGTAATCTAGGTACTCTAACAAATCTTGACTGTCATACAGATGTGGGCCTTTGCTGAAGAATTTGAAAGTAATTTAAAAGGATAAGTCAAAAGAACAGAGAGCTGGAAACTAGACTACAAACTATTTTTTCCGACTTCATCTTCACTCCTCACTTTTTTTTTCTAAAAGTTCTAAATCTCTGACTTTCTCCACATTATATTTGAAAACTAGTTATTTTTCTTGGAGGTTGGTAGATCTGTCAAGAAAAATGGTTATGTTGGTTTGACTTGATTTTTCTCCCTATAAAGTCACTGTCACAGTGCTTGCACATTTCCTCATAAATCATTTCCTGATCTCAGGCTTGAATAGAACTCCTTGTCCTTGACCTTTGACTCAGGATTTAAGAAGAAGTTTCCACATCAGAGCATTTAGGATTATTAAACTAAGATTTATTATTTAATCTTCCCATCACATATCTAGCCTTATTAGTTTAACAAATCAGATCTTAAAATTTTATGAAATAGAGATATCTTTATAATGTTTCCTATAAATATAAAGTAAAACTCTGACATTGTATGATTTCTCTTATTGTCTAATTTTTACGTGTTCATCCTAAATAAACTTTATAATCTCTTTCCAATGTGAGAGTCTCTCAGATGTTGTGATCTGACACCGTAACTTTTATCTTTATTGTGGCCCAATAATGTAAAGCTTCAAGTTCCAAGAAATGAAATTTTAAAAAGGCAATATGACTTCTTCCCATCGGAATTTAAACATGCTTAGGAATTCCCCAACCAGTGATATACAAAACAATAAAATGATTACCAAATTTTCTTGATCTCATGAACTCAAGCCACAGCTATTCCTATTTCCTTTCCCAACCATATGTCTGTCCCCAAAGTGTTGTCTGCACTCATTATCCTAATTCCTGACCCTCTGAATACTCCTCAATCCATGGCAATCTAACTTCCCAATCACCTATATAATGAAACTGCTTTTGCAACAGCACTAGTGTCTTTTCTTATGGCTTTATTTAGCTTTAATTGTCATTTCTTAATTGCTGAGAACTGGCCAATGTGCATTCGTATTCCTATGCTGAACAATTCAAGACTGAACATCACTTACATTCCCTGTACCAAACAATTCTGAAAAAAAAAAAAAGGATATTTTCTTCTTTTTGTGGTAAATAATATTGGGATCCTGTGGAAATAATTTGACTCTCG